TCAAACAAATGCCGAGGTTGCAGAGGGAGACGCTGCTGTGCCTCGCACTCAGACCCGGCATGGTGACAGACCCTCRGTGCATGCACCGGGCGCCTACATCACCAGTCATTACAGACTGTACTTGAAATTCGTTTGCTCCTGCAATGACTGCTTGACAAAGAAGGGAGAAAAGGAGAGATATTTGTCCTTTAACTACTCTGGAAAACTTAAGGCGAATCATTTTGCTGTTTGACATATCTCCTGATGTGGAGGGTTCACCACAAGCCATGTGCCATAGTTCTGTGCCAGGAAGGATTTGGGCACGAATTAAGGCAGATAATCTGAGCTCTGGAGAAAAATACAGGAAAGATCCTCCAGCTGGCATAGACCTGTCTGCCTAATTCTGGAACAAATGCAAGTTCTGCTCTCTTGACGGTGTGCCCAACCCCATAAACCGTTTTTCATTTCCATCTTCCCTCTGTTTATAAATTTTACAGCCTGTCTCTCAGTCCCAGAAAAGGTAGCTCGCTTTTCTGTTTCCAGGAAAGAGATACACAAATGGACTTCCCAGACAGATTCTGAACAACAGGTTCTGCCTTTTATTTCTTTCCCAACAAGCTTGGGTAATGTTGTAAGGTCTCAGATCGGGTTAGCTGGGAAATAATCAGGAGAGGAACTGTGGCTTCCTATCCATGTCCATAATTTTCTCCAAAGGTGTCCCATCACCCCTCCTGCAATTTTTTGTTCCTTAAAACTTTCCTTAAAAATTGTTCTCCARGTCCCCAGCACAGTGTCCTGCTGAGTTGAGAGAGCAAAATTGTACTCTTAAAGGCCAGAAAAAATCCCYTTAAGTCAATCAATAGCTATATTTCTGGGTGTTTTAAAACCAATAGTTTCAGATGTCGCTATTCCAAACAGCTTTTTCCCTGATCGATACCTCTGGCAGCTGTTTGGACAAGCTATCAGTGCAACTAATTGCTGTTGTTGCCCCTGTGATCAGTCAGGCTAGGATGTGTTTTTCTTGGGGAAGTGGCATTGAAAAGCTCAGATAAATACAACCCATGCAAAGCACAACATTCTTGGATGGACATAAGTCACTTTAGTGAAACACATATTTCTGGTGCTTTCGGGGTCCTCACTGCAAAAAAGAACTGAGAAATACTTCTTTACTGTGGGATTTACCTGGGATGTGCCAGCCCAGGTAGAGTAACTGCCCTTTCACTGCAGGCTTGGAAATAACTCCTCTGACCAGAGGGGAATCTTAAAGTGCTGATGTCTTCAGGCAGGCCAGTGGCTTTGTTAAGAACATAAAGTGCCCAAGAACATACTGGTCAGTGCTTGGGAACGGAGTTATCCCTACATGGAGCAAGAAAATGGGGCAAATTCTGAAACATTGGAAACACACACCCTGCTTTTGTAGCGAATAGTTCCTTTGTAAGTGAAGGAAACGCCCGTGCCATAAAGAAAGCCCTTCTGCTTTTCAAGGGGAGAATTACCAAATGCTTCAGAAGYGATCCCAATCTCACTGCAGATGCAAATGTACTCTGCTTACCAGAACTGAGTGAGTTAGTATTCACACCAGAGCCAATCCCCATTCTT